AGTCGGGCAGACGATGCACGGCGGATTGGGAGAGTCCGCGGTGAGGGAACCGTCTCGGGGGAGGAGAAGTGCGTCGTCATCGAAGACTCCAGCCTTGAGCGAGTTTTTGAGCGTGGCGTGAGAGGGATGTCCAAGCCGTTGGTGCCATGTTGCTGGGTCCGCACGGTAGCCGACTGTCTTCTGATAATATTTTTGCCGTGCTGCCTCGTCGTTTGCCTCCCCTTCAGGTCCTGTGTCAGCGGCGTTGTCCGTTTCGGCGGCGAGTGCGCGAATTGCTTTTCTCTCCAGAAGCGCGCGGGGAATACCGATGATGTCGTCGGTATCGCCAGCTTCGGCTTGGTCTCCGGTGACAAGTAGGCATCGATCGGGCCAGTCCCGAGCGGGGAGTCCCGACATGGGGATCCTGTAGTAACTGTATTCAGCACCAATGACTTCAATTTCTTGGGGTCCTTGTACCGGCGGCTCTGGCTCCTCGGTAGGTTCAGGTAATTCCGCTGGTCCCCCCATGAATTCGTAGGTCTCTTCTTCCTCTGACTCTTCTGGCATTGGTTCGGGTGTGTCAGGGGCGTACTGATCCGGAAGAGGAGGACCTCCCCAGCAGGTGCCGCGAGTTGCCCAGTACGGGTCGACGATGGCGACTTCCGCGGGAGGAAGGCCGGCTGCTACGGCGTGCCCTTGTTCCGCTTCGCCCGAAGCGCCCCAGCCTCCCCCGGCGCCCCACGTGTCTCCGATCATCCTTGCTTCTCCGACTGCTGCGTCTTTGACTTCTGCGCCAACTTCCCCAGATGGGGCAGGAGGAGTCCAGCCAGTGCCACCTTCCTCGGCTGGGGTAGGGGGAGTTCCCCGGCCAGTTGCAGCAGTTTCTTTCGTTGCGACGGCACCCCATCCGCTTGTGGCCGCTTCCTCTGGAGTCAGGACTTCGCCCCAAGATCCAAGTGCGGGTCCGGAAGTATCCCAGCCTGTCCAGCGCGTTTCCGCCGGCGTGTTTTCCTCGGCAGGTTGTGTTGCAGGGCCTGACGTGCCACTGTCTTCCTCCATTGTGGCAGGTCCGGTCTCAGCAGGATTCGAGGTCGAGGCGGTCGGAACAATGCGCAAGCGCAGAAGGCCGTCAGAGGCGGGTCGCTCGAGGTCCATCTCGTCGGGATGTGACCACGTTGGCGCCTCCGTGGGAGTCGTTTTTAGGAGCAGCGTGCGGTGGGAATCGCCGGTTGTGCCCTGAGCCGAGAACTGCAGCACGAAGACTCCGTCGTCGTCGATCGCCTTTCCGATGTAAGAGTCATCATAAAAGAGCTCGAAGGTCTTCTCTTTGCGGTTGCTGCGAATGTCGATTCCGCATCGCATGAGTTGAGCTGACGAGAGCAGGTTGTATTGGAGATCTGGCGCGACGAGGACGTCTCCGATGTGAATGGTAAATTTCGTGTCATTCGCCTCGAGGTAGATCTCCCCAATCTCATGTGCCTTCATTTTTCCGTTGTTGGCTGCGGTGATTTCGCAGGGTCGTCGCATGCGCCGAGAGTTGCTGATGAACTTTGATGATCCCACCATGTGTTGCCCGCAGCAACTGTCGAGGTACCAGGTGTCCAGATCCTCGTGGCGCTGGCGGGCAAGGTTGGCGATCTTGGGCGTAATGATGCGATCGAAGTCGCCGGTGTACGGCGAGAGAGCGAAATATCTACTTGCGGGAATGCTCGGCGGCGATTCCGGAGTAGGAGGAGGAAGCTCGAAGTCAGGAGGGATGTCTGAAGGGCGAGTCGACCAGGTAGAAACCGTTGGGTCGTTATCTGAGCTGGGCGCAACGGGGGTGGGGTTGTCGGAAGGGAATGAAATTCGATCCCGATCCCAGTAGCGGAACCCTCTGCTGCGGCGAGCCATGCAGCTTATGACCGTCCCTTTCCCTTTGTCCTTTGCCGAAATGACCGCAGGGGACTGAGAAGTACTGGCGACCGAGGGAGGCGACACAGTGGAGGTTGTGGCAGCAGGCTTGGATTGAGCTGAGGGTTGCTGGTTGGAGGCGTTGCGCCGTTCATCAGCAGCCTGACGCTTGTAGCACTGGTCGATGGAGTGGCCAGACTTCTTGCAGTATTTGCAGAAAGCTCCCTTCTTTCCGCGTTGCTCCCCTTGGGATCCTCCTGTGTAGAAGGCTAATTTTTCCCGCTTGACATTCTTCTCGTTGTACAGGTCGATCTCCTTCTGCTCCGAAAGAAGCGTGGCGCACAGAGCCGACTCCGATATGGTTGCTCGGGCGCGAAGGAGTGACTGGCACTGACGCCAGTCGGGGCCAAGGCCTGAAATGACCATTGAGATGAACATGTCGTCGGGGACAGAACCACCGCACTTCTTGACTTGATCGCGCAGATTGCGGCACCGATTAACATACGGTCCCGCTTTCTCCCCTTGCTTCATTTTAACCGAAGTTAGTTGACTGAGCAGGCGACTCATAGTAACTGGATCTGTTGCCATGTATGAGTTGCGCAGGTGTTCCCAGGATGCGTGCGCGGGAGCCCACTCCGTCTTGTACGGACGAATGCCGAGCTGCTCTTCAGGTGAGAGATTGCGAAGGAGAGCGGTGTACGCGAGAAGTGATTCGTGGTAGTACTGATGCTTCTCCTGGATGGTGCCTTCCGAGGGAAAAGGCAGACTTCCGTCGTAGTACATCCAGATCTGAGCGGTTGTCGCAAGAAGCTCGAATTCGAAACTCCACGTGTAGAAATCCTTGCCGTCAAAAGGAATTGAGGTCTTCAATTTTGAAGTCAGTACAAATTTGGTTTGCATTGAAGCGATGTCTGACTGCGACCGTTGTGGGTTGTCTTGTGCAGGAGCTGACCCTTGACGATTGTCAAAGGTGAAGGATCTCTCGGAGTTGACGCGGCGGTCTTCTCCAGGGAGAGGAAGTCCAGCAACGCCACGTGCATAGCTTGAGCCATCAATGCTCATAGCCTGATGGCTTTCGAGAGCGTTGATGCGTGCAACTAGCTGCTCAACGACAGCGGCGCTGACGGAGGTCACCGCTGATGGCGCGTTAGTAGTTGCTGGTGGTGGGCCCGGTGAGTCTGCAGTAGCTTTCCCTTCAGGAGCCATAGTGTTGCAGACCTTAGGATGTGATAATTGATTTTATGAAAGGATTGTTCTAGGAAGAACGAGGGCTTGACAGATCCTATAATCCACTCTAGCTCTCATACCATGCTGATACAACCAAAGGATCAGTGGATAGGATAGAATGTGTTAAGCCTGAAAGGAGACAGTGAAGTCTCTGTAGTGACCTTGTTGAGTAATAGTTGAAAGAAAACAAGATAATTAGAAGGTAGGAGTACAAGAAATTAAATAGCGAACTATCTAGCCATGTACTCTGAGGGGTACATTCCCTTATTAACTCTACCGTATTCCCCCGGATATACCACCCTAGGGTGCTATGATAACTACACAAAAAAAAGGGGGGGGTCTTGTCATCGGAAAAAGCTACATTGCACCCGGGTCTTTACATAATGTATATTTTTTTTATAGCGTAAAACGTTTAGTACTAAATGTACATCTGTGCCGTGGTGGTAGATTGCTGGTTGGGTGCGCAAAACCGAGGACTGGGCGATAACGTTTTGCGCGAGGGTTAGCTGCCACATTGCAAGCTCCAACAAGGCCCACTGTCAGGCCCTGATTGGACGAAATCACACCCCCTCGTCGCACGACGAGGATTCATGCAGGTGACAATGGCGGAGTCCCCGCAACAGCCTCGGTTGCCTCGCTGGGCGGGCACGTCATTGAACTGTGAAGGAGTTGATCCTCCTTTCTGTGCAGCGGCTCCATTCCACGAACTCGAGCAATGCTCGGCAGAGTGTCCTACCACCACCTGCCTCCTCGCTCCATGTCCAAGCATAAATTCTGTGGAAACCCTGTGCTACTTAGGCAAAAACTGCAATTATACCCGTACATAACACCCCCCCCCCGGGTGCTATATAGGATGCCCCCAAAAGGGGGGGTATAGTAGAAACGAGGCCCGCTATAGCACCCCCCCCGCACAAGCCACCCGGGGGGTGCTCTATTTCGGGGGGTGGTATGTCCGGGGGAATACGGTATTACATAGCTACAGTAACCACGACTATTGCTATTCTCGACAGTTACCGTGTTGCAGTCTGTTAACTGTCGCGTGGTTGCTGGATCGTCAAGGGTCACGACCGTTGACTATCTTTAGACGGTTGACCTTCGGGTGACCCTCGAGATTCCGCGTGCTCTATATGAGCTAATGCGGTACTAGTACAGAGGAGCATCTTCGGGAATGCCTTTATAACCTTTCGGTTATTCCAACACGTCGCCTCCTATCTCCACTCCTCTCACAGTCCCTCCTCCTCCTCACTTGCCCTCTGTGACTGCCTCTAGTTTTGCTTGTACTTGTGAACCTGCTCTATGACTGCTTGCTGTGCTGATTATACCCCACTTTGACTATGGGGATGTGTCAGAATGTGATGTTTGTCTAGCCTGCAGTGGGGTACTCTATAGCGAGTACAGCCCAGATTAGGGTTTGCTATATGTACTCAACTGCCTACTAGTGAAAACCCCTCATTCCTGTTTCTGATTCTTGCCTAGTGTTTTAACATGAAGCAGTCCTTCACGCCCAACTCTGCTGTGATGGCGGTGGGCGTGGTGACGTGTGGCTCGATTCAAGGGTGCGTTAGCAGTCCAGTGGGAAAACAACCAATGAGGCCACATGGCGTGTCGCTGACCACAAAAGACGATTTTATGCCAGTGGTCTCAAGCGACAACGCTTGTTTTTGTGGGAGTGGTACATTGTTGGCACGCGGAGTATGGCCTGATCCACGGTAAAGAAGTTCCGGTATCAGTGTAGTGTACACACAACCCTGACACTGTCAGCCTACCGTAACTAAAAATCCTAGCAGTGTAAAAAAAAACAAGCTCTTTTTGCACAAGGGTAACTATCTTGGAATCCTGATTTTGACAGGGTAATCCTGAAAAAGTGGAAAAAGACACATGGGGGAGGGTGCGCCGCAGGTTTAGAGCTCGCTCTCGAGCAGGTCGTGCAGCACGTGGGGTGCAGGCTGTGTGATGTTGTTGAGCGCCACATAGAAGTCCATGGCGTATATGCTCTTCACCGCCTCGTATGTGTCCTGCACCATGACACCATGGCAGCATGACAGCATGACAGCATGGCAGTCAGGGCACATGGCAGCATGACAGTCAAGCCGCATGGCAGCATGGCAGTAAGGACGCATGGCAGCATGGCGGTAAGGCATCATGGTTGCATGGCATCATGTAAGCATGACAGCATGGCAGCACGGCGGCAGGGCAGCATGAAAGCTTCACACCATAGCACCATGGCAGCATGGAATCATGGAAGCGTATCGGCATGCCAGCATCGCAGCATCGCACCATGGCATCATGGCAGCATGGCAGCATTGCAGGCCCACCGGCAATGGAAAGTGAGGGAGAGGTTTGCAGCCAGCACATAGCCGTGCCTCACCTTGTCATACAGCCGTGCCTCACCTTGTCATACAGCCGTGCCTCACCTTGTCATACAGCCGTGCCTCACCTTGTCATACAGCCGTGCCTCACCTTGTCATACAGCCGTGCCTCACCTTGTCATACAGCCGTGCCTCACCTTGTCATACAGCCGTGCCTCACCTTGTCATACAGCCGTGCCTCACCTTGTCATACAGCCGTGCCTCACCTTGTCATACAGCCGTGCCTCACCTTGTCATACAGCCGTGCCTCACCTTGTCATACAGCCGTGCCTCACCTTGTCATACAGCCGTGCCTGACCTTGTCATACAGCCGTGCCTCACCTTGTCATACAGCCGTGCAAGGCTGGCGTCGGCGTCTGCACCTTTCCCTGTGCCGTCTTCCTCAAACATCTCCATGTGCGCCCCCTGCCCCCCACCGCCCTGCCCCCCACCGCCCACGCGGTCCACGACAGCGCGGGCGCCGTCCATGAGGCTCTCCACGCGGCCCACCACGTCGTACTTGATGGTGGACAGCGCACACACGTCCACCTGCCACCCGCCCCAACATGCACAGCACCACCACGCACCATGCACGGGGGTGAAGCAAGTGAAGGCACATGCGTCAAACAAGACACCGCTAGCTCCATGCGACCCTCCCGTCACACTTGCTCACCATCACCATGAATCTCGTCGGTTCATATAAGCAGCATGAATCAATGCTTCCAACTGGCATACGCATCCATTCTGAAGTATTTTTTTCCTGTGAATGACCAACTGGTCCATGTTTCTAAAGCACGGAACTACATGCCCGCCTGTAAATGACCGACTGGTCCATGTTTCTAAAGCACGGAACTACATGCCCGCCTGTAAATGACCGACTGGTCCATGTTTCTAAAGCACGGAACTACATGCCCGCCTGTAAATGACCGACTGGTCCATGTTTCTAAAGCACGGAACTACATGCCCGCCTGTAAATGACCGACTGGTCCATGTTTCTAAAGCACGGAACTACATGCCCGCCTGTAAATGACCGACTGGTCCATGTTTCTGAAGCACGGAACTACATGCCCGCCTGTAAATGACCGACTGGTCCATGTTTCTAAAGCACGGAACTACATGCCCGCCTGTAAATGACCGACTGGTCCATGTTTCTGAAGCACGGAACTACATGCCCGCCTGTAAATGACCGACTGGTCCATGTTTCTAAAGCACGGAACTACATGCCCGCCTGGCTTGACATCCTCACCACCTCAACCACTTGTGAATCGCATCCCAGTATTGCTCTGCTCGCCTGGCCCAACGCCTGTGCCCAACCGTTTGTAATCTCCTCCGGCACAGCATTCCCACCTGAGCGATAACAGCCCCACCTGGAAGAACCCCATGTATGTAAACTCCTGAGGCGCAGCAAGCCCACCTGAGCCCGCAACACCCCACCTGAGGCGCAACACCCCACCTGAGGCGCAACACCCCACCTGAGGCGCAACACCCCACCTGAGGCGCAACACCCCACCTGAGGCGCAACACCCCACCTGAGGCGCAACACCCCACCTGAGGCGCAACACCCCACCTGAGGCGCAACACCCCACCTGAGGCGCAGCACCCCACCTGAGGCGCAACACCCCACCTGAGGCGCAACACCCCACCTGAGGCGCAACACCCCACCTGAGGCGCAACACCCCACCTGAGGCGCAACACCCCACCTGAGGCGCAATACCCCACCTGAGGCGCAATGCGGGAGTCCATGAGGGGGCGGGTGTGGTCCATGAGGCGACCCACGAGGCGCACGAATGACGGGAAGGACAGCTGCCCGTCGCCCTCGCGCACCACCGCCTCCACTATCGGCCTCACCGCCAGGAACAACGCCTGCTCATTCAAACCCGCACAGAGGGGTGGTGTGGTGGAATGGGTTTGGGGCAAGTTGGGAAGAGATGGTGAAAGGAGAAGGTTGCAGGATGGTGAGAGGAGAAGGTTGCAGGATGGCCATGCAGCGGCAAGCAGAGAAGGGAGGGACGATGTGCTTGCTAAGTCTTGACTCTTCTCCTCTCACAAATTATGTCCCAAGCACACGCCCACATGCCCACATCCCGCTCCCACATCCCACACGCGGTATGCACATGCCCCTGCTTCACATCGCCCGTGCCTCACATTGCTCCAGTGGTCACGTGAGGTGGGCGCGAGGCTGCTGTGGGTGGCGAGCACGGTGGAGCGGAAGGTGGAGGCGAGGCGCGAGAAGGGGTTGCGCACAAACGTGAAGCGCAGCAGGTCCGGCCGCGTGATCACGCGCACCTGGTGGGGGGGAGGAGATGAGGGGAGGGGGGACAAGGGGAGAGGGCCGTGAGGAGAGGGTGTTGCAGGAGATTTTGGTAAAGCTTGTACATGAAGCGATACCAGTAAGAACACAAAATGGAAACGGTGGGGCAGGACTGTGGAAGTGAACGAGAGGGAGGCTTGGGGAGGTGGGTGGGGTGGGAGGGCGCACGGCGTGGGCCTCAGTGAAGTGCAGTGCGAGAGACAGGGAGTGAGAGGCAGTTAGGCACGGAGGGGTTGGGGCAGGGGAGGAGGGCGGACGCACAGCGTGGGCCTCGGTGAAGTGCAGCGCGAGCTCGTGCAGCCCGCCATCACGGTCGTCCACCGCCACGCGCCCCTCGCGGGGGGAGGGCAGCCCCAGGCGCGCGCGCAGCCATGTGAGCCACGCCGTGGACGCCACACCGGGCACCCCGCAGTACATCACGCCCAGCCGCTCTGAGGGCCATGGGAGTGGGGCAGCGCGGCAGAGATAGGGGCAGACGGCAGCAAGAGAGAGCGCATGGGAGTGATGAGAAAGCACGGTGCAGTGCAGGAGGCGAGGCGAGTGTGGGGAAACGCGATAGCATGCGATGGTGGCGTGGCAGCATGCAATGGTGGCAGCATGCTGATCTAGAGAAGGCAGCAGGGTGGTAACATCACGGAATGGTGGCAAGTGCCAAGGGAGTGGTGGCATGGCAGGGAGTGGTGTTGGCAGGAAAGGAGGGGAGGTGGACGACCACAAGGGTAGCGTGGCGGAGTGAAGGAGGATGGCGATCACCAAGGTAGAAGAGGATGTGAGTCAAAGGGAGAGGAAAAGAGACAGAGTGTTTATAAATGCAAGGGAAAGAGTGGTTAATACAAAAAGGCAGTGCAATCCCCCCGTTCCCGCTGACCCACCCTCAACAATGGTGTATTTAGCGAACTTGAGGTGTGTGATGGGGCGCAGCGGTGGCGAGTCACACACGGCGCGCTGCACACGAAACAGCTCGCTGCGCGCGCTGCCGTGCGCGGCGATGAAGCGCGCCTCCGCTGACGACGAGTTGACGGCGATGAGGCCCCTCGTGTGGCTCAATGCATACAGCTCCGCCACCTGCCCACCCGCACAGACAGGGAAGGAGTGTTTTGAGACGTCTCAAAGGAGCGCGCCTTTTGAGACGTCTCAAAAGACAGGGAAGGAGTGTTTTGAGACGTCTCAAAGGAGCGCGCCTTTTGAGACGTCTCAAAAGACAGGGAAGGAGTGTTTTGAGACGTCTCAAAGGAGCGCGCCTTTTGAGACGTCTCAAAAGACAGGGAAGGAGTGTTTTGAGACGTCTCAAAGGAGCGCGCCTTTTGAGACGTCTCAAAAGACAGGGAAGGAGTGTTTTGAGACGTTTCAAAGGAGCGCGCCTCCGCTGACGACAAGTTCACCGCGATGAGCCCCCTTGTGGCTCAGCATACAGCTCCGCCACCCGCCCGCCCGGCCAGCCACCGGAGCGAGGGTGGAGGGCGGGGAGGAGAGGGAGGAAAGGGGAGGGAAGGGAGGAAAGGGGAGGGAAGGATGAAGAGAGGGAGGAAAGGTGCGGAGCGACTCGTGACGACTCGTGTGAAACGAGGCAGCACCACCCAGTGGAGGCATGGGGACTTGCAGTGCAACAGCGCCTCCACACACTCACTCCTACGCTGCACTGAGATGTCAACAATAGGGAGGACGCCCCAGCCCAACTCATGCCACCGCAGCAAGCACACACGTACCCATGCAAGCACACTCGTACCCGTGCATGCAGGCACAGCAGCAGCTGCTCGGGTGTGACGCGGTTGTTGAACGGCAGCAGCACTGCATCCTCCTCGCCCCCTCCACTGCCACCCCCATCGCCTACTCCTCCACCACCCCCTCCCACGGCGCCTGCCTGGAGGGCGAGTCCACCCCCACTGGCCCCGGGCGGCACCACGGTGTGCGCCTTTTGAGACGTCTCAAAAGGCACCACGGTGTGCCGCTGGTCGCGCGGCGCAGTGACGTGCTCGCCGAAGGGGCACGTGGCGGCGCGCAGCAGCGTGGCGTGCAGCAGAGCGGGCGCGCGCAGCGGGTGGAAGAAGTCCGCCACGGCCGCCGCGTGGTGCGGGTTGGCGGCGGCGAGCGTGAAGCCCTTGGAGGGGTCCTTGAGGACGCTCATCGTCACGCGCCTCATCACACACTCCACTGCCGTCGACCCGTTGCTGCCCGGGCAGCCGCTGCACCCCGGTGCTGCCAGCGTCTGTGACCGGCAAGGGGGAGGGAGAGAGAGAGAGCAGCAGTGAGCAGCGGCGTGGTGGGGGTTGGCAGCGGCGAGCGTAAAGCCCTTGGAGGGGTCCTTGAGGACGCTCATGATCACGCGCCTCATCACACACTCCACTGCTGTTGACCCGTTGCTGCTCGGACACCCGCTGCACCCCGGTGCTGCTAGTGTCTGAGGGGGACACGACGGAAAGAGAGGGGGGTGGATGGAGGGAAGCGTGGGTAGATGGGTCAAAAAGAGTCTATGGATCTCACTGCCCCCACCCACTGCTGCTCCCTCCCCTTGTACACTCCCCACCTTCTGCCCCTCCCCTCATTCAGCTGTGTGCTTCCCATTCCGTCCATCCTCCTGCCCACGTCACCCTGCCGAGCCACCCTCACACTCCCCTCCCACGCCCTCCTCCCCCCACTCACATCCACGAAGACCCCATACGAGGCCTGCAGGCGCGTGGCGTTCTCCTGCTGCAGCAGCTGCTGCACGGGCGGCGCGGGGTGCAGTGCCGCCATGCACGCCCCCATGGCGCGCTCAAACGCACATGCGTCCGGCAGCGACTGGCGGGGCAGGGGCACGGGAAGAGGGGCAGGGTGGGTGAGAGGGGCAGGGTGGGTGAGAGGGGCAGGGTGGGTGAGAGGGGCAGGGTGGGTGAGAGGGGCAGGGTGGGTGAGAGGGGCAGGGTGGGTGAGAGGGGCAGGGTGGGTGAGAGGGGCAGGGTGGGTGAGAGGGGCAGGGTGGGTGAGAGGGGCAGGGTGGGTGAGAGGGGCAGGGTGGGTGAGAGGGGCAGGGTGGGTGAGAGGGGCAGGGTGGGTGAGAGGGGCAGGGTGGGTGAGAGGGGCAGGGTGGGTGAGAGGGGCAGGGTGGGTGAGAGGGGCAGGGTGGGTGAGAGGGGCAGGGTGGGTGAGAGGGGCAGGGTGGGTGAGAGGGGCAGGGTGGGTGAGAGGGGCAGGGTGGGTGAGAGGGGCAGGGTGGGTGAGAGGGGCAGGGTGGGTGAGAGGGGCAGGGTGGGTGAGAGGGGCAGGGTGGGTGAGAGGGGCAGGGTGGGTGAGAGGGGCAGGGTGGGTGAGAGGGGCAGGGTGGGTGAGAGGGGCAGGGTGGGTGAGAGGGGCAGGGTGGGTGAGAGGGGCAGGGTGGGTGAGAGGGGCAGGGTGGGTGAGAGGGGCAGGGTGGGTGAGAGGGGCAGGGTGGGTGAGAGGGGCAGGGTGGGTGAGAGGGGCAGGGTGGGTGAGAGGGGCAGGGTGGGTGAGAGGGGCAGGGTGGGTGAGAGGGGCAGGGTGGGTGAGAGGGGCAGGGTGGGTGAGAGGGGCAGGGTGGGTGAGAGGGGCAGGGTGGGTGAGAGGGGCAGGGTGGGTGAGAGGGGCAGGGTGGGTGAGAGGGGCAGGGTGGGTGAGAGGGGCAGGGTGGGTGAGAGGGGCAGGGTGGGTGAGAGGGGCAGGGTGGGTGAGAGGGGCAGGGTGGGTGAGAGGGGCAGGGTGGGTGAGAGGGGCAGGGTGGGTGAGAGGGGCAGGGTGGGTGAGAGGGGCAGGGTGGGTGAGAGGGGCAGGGTGGGTGAGAGGGGCAGGGTGGGTGAGAGGGGCAGGGTGGGTGAGAGGGGCAGGGTGGGTGAGAGGGGCAGGGTGGGTGAGAGGGGCAGGGTGGGTGAGAGGGGCAGGGTGGGTGAGAGGGGCAGGGTGGGTGAGAGGGGCAGGGTGGGTGAGAGGGGCAGGGTGGGTGAGAGGGGCAGGGTGGGTGAGAGGGGCAGGGTGGGTGAGAGGGGCAGGGTGGGTGAGAGGGGCAGGGTGGGTGAGAGGGGCAGGGTGGGTGAGAGGGGCAGGGTGGGTGAGAGGGGCAGGGTGGGTGAGAGGGGCAGGGTGGGTGAGAGGGGCAGGGTGGGTGAGAGGGGCAGGGTGGGTGAGAGGGGCAGGGTGGGTGAGAGGGGCAGGGTGGGTGAGAGGGGCAGGGTGGGTGAGAGGGGCAGGGTGGGTGAGAGGGGCAGGGTGGGTGAGAGGGGCAGGGTGGGTGAGAGGGGCAGGGTGGGTGAGAGGGGCAGGGTGGGTGAGAGGGGCAGGGTGGGTGAGAGGGGCAGGGTGGGTGAGAGGGGCAGGGTGGGTGAGAGGGGCAGGGTGGGTGAGAGGGGCAGGGTGGGTGAGAGGGGCAGGGTGGGTGAGAGGGGCAGGGTGGGTGAGAGGGGCAGGGTGGGTGAGAGGGGCAGGGTGGGTGAGAGGGGCAGGGTGGGTGAGAGGGGCAGGGTGGGTGAGAGGGGCAGGGTGGGTGAGAGGGGCAGGGTGGGTGAGAGGGGCAGGGTGGGTGAGAGGGGCAGGGTGGGTGAGAGGGGCAGGGTGGGTGAGAGGGGCAGGGTGGGTGAGAGGGGCAGGGTGGGTGAGAGGGGCAGGGTGGGTGAGAGGGGCAGGGTGGGTGAGAGGGGCAGGGTGGGTGAGAGGGGCAGGGTGGGTGAGAGGGGCAGGGTGGGTGAGAGGGGCAGGGTGGGTGAGAGGGGCAGGGTGGGTGAGAGGGGCAGGGTGGGTGAGAGGGGCAGGGTGGGTGAGAGGGGCAGGGTGGGTGAGAGGGGCAGGGTGGGTGAGAGGGGCAGGGTGGGTGAGAGGGGCAGGGTGGGTGAGAGGGGCAGGGTGGGTGAGAGGGGCAGGGTGGGTGAGAGGGGCAGGGTGGGTGAGAGGGGCAGGGTGGGTGAGAGGGGCAGGGTGGGTGAGAGGGGCAGGGTGGGTGAGAGGGGCAGGGTGGGTGAGAGGGGCAGGGTGGGTGAGAGGGGCAGGGTGGGTGAGAGGGGCAGGGTGGGTGAGAGGGGCAGGGTGGGTGAGAGGGGCAGGGTGGGTGAGAGGGGCAGGGTGGGTGAGAGGGGCAGGGTGGGTGAGAGGGGCAGGGTGGGTGAGAGGGGCAGGGTGGGTGAGAGGGGCAGGGTGGGTGAGAGGGGCAGGGTGGGTGAGAGGGGCAGGGTGGGTGAGAGGGGCAGGGTGGGTGAGAGGGGCAGGGTGGGTGAGAGGGGCAGGGTGGGTGAGAGGGGCAGGGTGGGTGAGAGGGGCAGGGTGGGTGAGAGGGGCAGGGTGGGTGAGAGGGGCAGGGTGGGTGAGAGGGGCAGGGTGGGTGAGAGGGGCAGGGTGGGTGAGAGGGGCAGGGTGGGTGAGAGGGGCAGGGTGGGTGAGAGGGGCAGGGTGGGTGAGAGGGGCAGGGTGGGTGAGAGGGGCAGGGTGGGTGAGAGGGGCAGGGTGGGTGAGAGGGGCAGGGCAGGGTGGGTGAGAGGGGCAGGGTGGGTGAGAGGGGCAGGGTGGGTGAGAGGGGCAGGGTGGGTGAGAGGGGCAGGGTGGGTGAGAGGGGCAGGTGGGTGAGAGGGGCAGGGTGGGTGAGAGGGGCAGGGTGGGTGAGAGGGGCAGGGTGGGTGAGAGGGGCAGGGTGGGTGAGAGGGGCAGGGTGGGTGAGAGGGGCAGGGTGGGTGAGAGGGGCAGGGTGGGTGAGAGGGGCAGGGTGGGTGAGAGGGGCAGGGTGGGTGAGAGGGGCAGGGTGGGTGAGAGGGGCAGGGTGGGTGAGAGGGGCAGGGTGGGTGAGAGGGGCAGGGTGGGTGAGAGGGGCAGGGTGGGTGAGAGGGGCAGGGTGGGTGAGAGGGGCAGGGTGGGTGAGAGGGGCAGGGTGGGTGAGAGGGGCAGGGTGGGTGAGAGGGGCAGGGTGGGTGAGAGGGGCAGGGTGGGTGAGAGGGGCAGGGTGGGTGAGAGGGGCAGGGTGGGTGAGAGGGGCAGGGTGGGTGAGAGGGGCAGGGTGGGTGAGAGGGGCAGGGTGGGTGAGAGGGGCAGGGGGGTGAGAGGGGCAGGGTGGGTGAGAGGGGCAGGGTGGGTGAGAGGGGCAGGGTGGGTGAGAG